CCTTTGTTTCTCTTTTTAGTATATGCTTAGAGTATTTTGAAGAACTGGTTTGGTGGTCATGAATTTTCTCAGGTGTTCTTTGTTATAGAAGTATCTTATTTCTCCATCAATTTTGAAAGATAATTTGTTGGGGTACATCAATCTGTGTTACGATTTGTTTTCTTTTAGAGCTTGAAATACCTCTCTCCAAGTTCTCCTTGAGGGTTTGTGTTGAGAAGTCAGCTATGATTGCGATGGGCTTTCTTTTATAGGCAATTTGTTTCTTTTCTCTAACTGCTTTTTCTATTTTGTTCTTGTGCTGAATTTCTGGAAGCTTATCCTTTGGTGTAGGTTTATTTTGGTCATGGCTTTTTGGAGTTGTATCTGCTACATTTATTTGTATGTCAAATTCTTTATCCATGTTTAGGAAGTTTTCTGCATTATTTCAGTGAAGAGTTTTTTTTAAGGCATTTACACTGTCTCCAGCTTTCTCATTGATCTTTCTCAAGATCCCAGTCAATCTTATATTGTTATTCTTTGTTTCATCTTGTAACTGTTGGATTGATTTTTCATGATCTCTTGCTATTTTTAAGATTTCTTTCTTTTCATGATCAGTGGCCACAATTCTGTCTTCAAGATTTGATAGTCTATCTTCACTTTCATTCAGTCTGTTGCATGTACTTTCAATGGACGTTTTAATCTTTTGGATTTCTGTTTGGATCTGTTTCTTGGATTCTATTTCTTTCCTATGTTGGGCATTTGTGGATTCTATCATTTTTAAAGCTCTTTTATTTTTTCTGTTTCTACTGTAAAAGCCTTCATTTTGAATATCATTTCAGTTTGTACCTGAGGGGTTATTTTTCTATAACTATTTCTTCTTCTTTTTTCCCTTCTGTTGCTATCATTTCAAAAAGTTCCAGTGTTTGACTTCTAATTTCATCTATCTCATTTTGCTCAGGGCCTGTCCTGGGTGGGCTAGATGTCCAGACTTACATCTTACTTCTGTGTTTTATCATTTTCTATTTCTCTTTTTTATTTTATTTTGTTTTCTATGTTGATGCTTGCCTCTGGATGTGGGCCCTGGGGCTGGTCTTCCATTGATGGAGTTCTCCAGGTCCCTTTTATATAGAATGGAGGACCCATCCACTTTTATTCTGCGGGTCTGTGTGCCAAAGCTCAATGCTAGTTCATCTAATTTACCAACTGCTGGCTCCTCACTGCTGCTTCAGACTTTTCCACACTGCTGGTCTCACCTGCCCCTTCTTGTGTACCTACACCAGGGTGTGGTCTCACTGGTCACACCTGTGCTCCCCTGCCAGGGCCTGGCCTGGTCTTGCTGGTTGCTCTGTCTGCTGTAGGTGTGTGTATGCCGGTGCCTGGGCCGCTTGACCTGGTCTCTCTGTTTTTTTCTTTCACCATCCATTTTGATTTTGAGGTCAGATAAACCCATCAAAAGAGCTGAAAAGTTTTTCTTCTTCAATTCTCTGAAATAATTCTAAAACCATCTGGATCTGGTATTTTTGGGTGAGGAAACATTTGACTAAATTTTTTAAATGATTATATGAATTTCATATATTTTCTGGAGAAAATTTGTTAATTTCTGTATTTTTTTGGGAAACAATAACTCAATCTTTAAACTTAAAGTGAATACTATTTTCTAATAAATTAAAAAGTCAACTGTATCTGTTCCTTTTTAGACCTACTTGTTTATGTCATGTCTTGTCTTTTCTTTTTGTTTCTGCCTTGCTGATTTCCCTATAACCTTAGTGTGCTGTGGCAGCATTTTGTCTGATCACTTAAGTTTCAGGGCTGGAGTAGGGGATAAAGAAGGAGAGGAAAGTCACAGTAAGAAGAAATAAGGGAAATTAATGACTTTTTGGGGCCTGAAGGGCAGGTACTGCTCATTTTGACTGATCATTTAGAGTTCAGTTATGCCTTGTTTTCCTCCTCTGTAATGTAGGAATAAACAGAATGTCTGCAGCATGGGATGCTATGAGGATCAAGTGAATCAACACCAAAAACAACCTATCTAAATATCACATGTCAAGTTGCCAGTATCCTTAGTTGTTATCATTATGTGTACAGGAGGAATAAAGTAACAGACTCAGGTTTAAAGAACTAGAACCAGGACACTAAAAATATGTTTATCGTGGATTCATCCACATGAAGACCCCAGGTCCTCCTTTCCCCTCCTACTACTCTGTCATGCTGAATGCCTTCCCAATCTCCACAGACAGCTTGAACATCATGGAAAGAGTAGAGCAGCTTGAATACAGCCATATCAAACATTTCACAGACTTCCTGAAAGTTTCATTCAAACCTCACACAATCAGATTTAACATGAAAGGCAGGGCTGGATTATAAGATGCCATAATGGTAGACTTCTCTTCATGCTTGGTCTGTGATTTATTGCTCATTTAACAAATATTTAAATTTCCGTGATGTATAAATCTTGAACAAAAAATAGTGTCAAATCCATTGCTCTGATTAACCTAGTTTAACCAAGAAAAGGCACAATGTCACCTGCTTTAGTGTTTACAATAAAATTTATATGAAGATTACTGACCTGTGAGTCTATCCACATTGGTCAGCTGGATGTTCTAGGTCTGTGCAATCCTTTGGAATACCCACTAGCTACTCTAAAGGATATAAAATAGAATTGAAGAATCAGTTTCTCTGTGGTGGTAGGTACATTTCTAAGAGTCAGTAGCCACAATGGCTATTATGACAGCATTAGAAAACTGAATTCTAGGACATCTCTCCCACCCCAGGAAGTTCTGTTGCACGACTGTATTCTAGAGGGAGTTTCAACAATAATTAAAGTAGTCCTAGATGTGGAATAAGTGGTTCAGGGAATGGATCACCTTGTTCTTAACAGGCTGGCTGAATGCCTATTGTTATGGCTAGCAGGGTTAAAAATAGTTTAATCTTTGAAGCAGGTTAAACAAATTCTTTGGAATGTTATTTATCCTGGGAACTTGCCTGGAAATTCCACAATTCAAGAATTCTGAATTAGTGAAGGCCAATGTGATTTACTATATTCCCTAGGTCAATTGTAAAGGCTGCATTTTCTTTTGCATTATTTCTGGCCAGAAATCACCTCCAACACCAGTTCTACCTTCTATCACTTACATACCTGTTTATGTAAGTAATCATCTGTTTCCTGGTCATTATCAGCCCTAGGATATTTGTCCACTTTGTCCACTTTCCTGGAATATAGCTTTGAGCATTTTCATTGGTTTTGTGCTGTGAGTGGCATCTTGAGTAAAAGCACGATTCCCTTCTCAACAGTATTTGCCAGCCTGGCCTGGTCAAATAGATAACCTATCATGATATTTTCTGTAGTGCATGAATCAAGTACCAGATCTACAAATGATGAACATGTTAGAGATGGAAGGACATTCTTTTGCCCAGAGCAATTCAGCCAATGAAGTGAAATATACATGAAACATATTGAAGCCCAGAGACCTAGGGCCTATGCTTGTCAGGTGCTGGGTTAGGAAGAGGACATTAAGACTGCTAGCATGTCATAGCTCCTGATGGCCTGGGCATGGGGGTGGGACATAGTTCCTGAGAGAATCAATCATCATGAGGAAAAGGGTCCTGTATTTTTTCTTTTTTGACCAAATGTATTTTGCTCCTCCTCCTAGAGCTGTGGTGACATGCTTGCTGATAATTTGTTCTCATCTGTCTACTCCAAGTCTGTCCTGGCCAGGTGTTGTGATCTTAAACCAAGAATTTTTATCGAAGTCCTGTCCCTGTCCCACCATCCCATCTCTGGGCCTCATTAACAAGGGAGTATGGACACTGCTACTTTGTAAATGCCATTATTTTAACTACTAATAAGCTGAGCTACATCAGAGAGAAGCCGGAGGCAGAGGATTAAAGGAAAAGGAAGATCAGAAATCTTTGTCCTTCACCACCAGGTCTAGGAATAAAAGACATAGACCTCAGAATGTAAAGAATACTTTCTCCATTTCCTGAGCATCCCGCCATCAACTGTCACATTTAATCCCTCACTCAGTCTGTTCTTCCTTCCTTCCAAGTACCTCTGAAATGCATTCGTTCTCCCATCTCGGGCCATTATTGCGGTGACCACCCCCTTGATGCCACACAGCGCTCAGTCTGCCTTCCTACAGCAGCCCCTTAGGGAGCAACACTGGAAAAGACAGGTTTGATCCTGTGACATCCTCACGTAAGCCTCTCTTCTTGCTCAGGATAGAGACTACAATGCTCAGTGTGGTCTATGGGAGCCTACTTAGTGGCCCCTGTGATATTTGTAACATCTCTTGACCTCATTTCCTCAGCACTGTAGTCTTGCCACACAGGCTTTTCTCTCCTTCATTTCTGCAACAAATCAAACTTGTTCCCACCTCAGGGCCTTTGCACATGTGGTACCCTGTCCTCAGGTCACTCTTCTCCCAGTTCCCTATTGCCTAGTTAACACATGTTCACCCTCAAATATCAGTTCAGTTACCGCTTCCTCCTTGTGTCACGTCAGTCATTACACTGCTGTCCTCCCCAGCTAGGTCACGTTGATGTTCTGCATTTATAGGTGACTCTGGCATTAACACTTCCTTATACAATTGTAAGCTTTAGAGACAATATTTGTCCTTTACTTACCATTATATTCCCAGTTCCTAGCAGTAAGCCTGGAAATTGAGACATGAGTAAATCTTGACTGAGTAAATAACCAGGACCTTCTGGCTCTGCCAGCAAAGGAACACGGTCTGCTAAGGACACACACAGATTTAAGAGCCCTGGTTCAAATTTTGGCTTTGCCACTTGTTAGTCAGTCTTGGGAGTGTTGGTTCACCTCTAAGCTTTAGTTTCCTCATCTATGAAATGGGCATAACCACCATCACAGGTAGGTTGAGATGTCGGAAGAGACTGTACTGTCTGCGCATGCAGTAGATTCTCCGGGAACTACAGACGTCATTATCATTCAACTTAGAGACTACAGGAGTGGAAAGTCCTCTGATAAGGCCACAGGGTCCTCAGGAAGAAGGAACAGGCATTCAAAAGGAAACAGATAGTAACATTTTTTATTAAATATTACAGTGGATCAAAAAGTACAAAATATCTCTTGCCTGCTATGTGATTGGGAAACTATTGGCACGTAATACAGTATCAAAAGCAGTAATAAGTACAATTTGGAAAACATACAAAATTGAGTGTTTATAGTTGGCTCAGCATTCTCCTGGTAGTGTTTAAACTAATGCAAAGGTTACTCAATAACCTCTCCATTGGGAAACTATATAATATCACTGGGCCATGTTGCTATATACATATAATCACCTTACAGAGCATAGAGGTTACATAGCTGGAATCACCAAAAGTATACAATATTTACAACACAGTAAAGTTTAAAAAAGTATAAACAGCCAAGAGATTATGCTGCTATTCTTCAGACATATTTCAACCATGGGGAGACAAGCAGAATATCAAATACAACAGCCAACACTGGAGTTTAAGTGCTCAAGGTAATCATTGCAATGGTGTGGGTCTCACCAGGGCAAAATCGTTCCCATTTCTCTTTAAAATTGGGACAAGAATAAAACTAGACCAGATGGGACTTGGCTGACCACCACCAAACATGACTTTGCAGGACAACAAGTGAAGAGATATAAATGGTTCTCTTTGAAGGCACACTACATAAAATATTTTTGTGGGACCACCTCAAAATTTCCATCCGACACATTAACACAGTGAAATACAGTACTTGAGAATTCATGCACCAGGTCAGAAAGTTGTAAAGTCCACACTGAGTTTTAACAAACCCTTCTGTATATGCCCTGATAAACAAGTGAACTTAAGAGCATCTAGCTAGTAAATAAATAAGTCAGTCCTGTGGCAAACATTACAAGTTCAAATTACTACGAGAATACTTAATTCTAAAACTCGGTTGGGCTTTTTTTTTTTTCTGTTGAGTTGTCAAAAGTTAGACCAGAAGTTGCATGGAAAGGTTTTTTTAAAAATATTATTTGGAATCTCTACATCTCCAATAAATCATGAACTTAGTGCATTTTGAATTGCAACATTTCTTGGAAGCCACACTCAGTAAATAGATTTATGACTCCACTGCCAATTAGATTCCACAGTTCCCTTACAGAACTACCAATAACAATGGTCTGATTGCACAAAGAAAGGCTTGTGCAATTCCATTCAATAATAAGGCCCCTTGAACTCAAACAATGCAAACAAAGCCCTATTTAAGACTTTTTAAAATGTAGCTCTCAGCCAATGAAGAATTCAATGGTCTTTTTGAAACACATCCAAGATCTCTGTTTGGAGTTTTAAAACAAATAACACACTGCTTCTGTTGGGGATGTGTACCCCCATCTCTCTGTATTTGTCCTGATGTTCTGCAGAGGGTATGAGCTTCCTCAGACAGAAACAGTGAGTCTCCTCTCGGAAGAGACGGGAGAAACAAAAGCTGGACTATGTTGACATTGTTTGCAAATGGTGTGATCAAATTCCAGCATGATGAAACCAGACTGAAATCACTGCACTGGGGAAACAAGTGCCCCATATTACAAGTGGATAGGTGAGCTCCGTGAGGACCCACGGCTCCCATTTTCTCTGAGAAAGGAACTCTCACAAACCACATCCGGTCTAGCCCATGTCTGCTGCAGAGCCACCGAGTTCTCCTCTTACACGTCCTCTGATTCTGTGACCATTCAATCTAGTGCAACTTTCTTCTACGTGTCCTGGCCAGCATTTGGCCAGCTGGAATTGAGATTATTTTCCCCCTCATTCTTGTGCAATAGCAGGATAATCTGCACTCACACATTTATAATCTAAATTCTACTAGTCTATCTATGGTTCTATTAAATATATATAATATATATTATTCCACAGGAAGGTAAATAAGTAATTGAAGCAAATGGAACTCTTAACACTGGATCTCTACATTCTTTTGTTTCCACCTTTGGATATTAAATATGTTACACGGAATATTTGGCTTCATATCATGGAGACATTTCAATATAAATGCACAGCATGCGTGGCTTTGTGTAAGAGCCGCAGTTTCAGTTATTGGTTTTATTTTGCAGTTGAGTTACCTATTTAGAAGTTGAAAATTGTCATCAATTTTCATAGACTTAAATAGCTCAGAGGTAAAAGACTTGGTTAACTATGGTTCTAAAGTCTACTGGTAGTGTTGGAGCAGGGCACTGTGGGCTGGGGAGTTCATCAGAGCAGTCTCCAGCGGGGATGGATGGGAATGGGAAAGAAAATCCACTCCATCAACTGACTCTTAATACACCTAGAAAATGTGTCCACTTTGGTGTTACATCTTGGGAGCAAATAGGATAAAGTGGCAAGAATGACAGCAGGCATTGTCCACATCTTTTGACTACCTGAACAGCTGGACCATTCATTTCTAACACTAAACGAAGTCAAAGCAGACAGTATTGCCAGGTATATAAAAAACCATGGCACCAGCCACCTCCCATGTGCATGTGCACACAGAACTCACACCCCGTAAGCCCCAGAGGATGCCTTTCTTTTGACACAGGTAATCCAGTATGCCTGTTGTCTCCAAAGATGTAACCTGGAGACAATCTTCTTGGGGATGACAAGAAACCAAGTGATGACAACAACGTCACTACCTATGACCCGGTAGGCTGCGGCCCAGGGAAGCTGTCTGGCAGCCAGGCCTCCAGCTGCTCCTCCTCTGCCGGACAGTCGAGCTCCATCCTCTTCCCACCCCGCTTCCCCAGACTTTAAATGGAACAGCGCCAACACCAATGTAAGTCATTCTGGCTCCTGTTCTAATTTCTGAAATTCCTAAAATATCTGTGCAGCCCACAAATATGTCCTCTAGATTTTGTTGTTATTCAGCAGCTTGCTGCCAGTGAGGTTTTTGTTTTTATGAATCCTCTGGTATGTAGGACAGTTTCACAGCCTAGATAAGGTAAGTACAATGCTCAATATTTTCACATAGCCCAATACTTCAAAGCAAAGCATCTGGCCGGGTAAGCAGTGCATAAGCTCTTTCAACTATGCCATTTATGAGGAACAAAATCCATAAGTTGTGGATCTGCAAAGGAACGTTCTTTGCACGATTGTGTGCTCGGCTGTTTCTTTTTCATTTGTTCCACTAGAATCAGTTGCTTCAATTTGTAAACAATAACTTTACCACCCAAAGCTGCTCGAAATGATCAGTTGTGGAAAAATGACAAATACACACCGACAACTAGGACAGTTAGTCAGCCTTTCAAACAAAACAAAAACCAAAACAAAACAAAAACAAAGGACCTGCAAACAAAAGTGATATTGTTTAATTAAAAAAAGAATAAAAGGGACAAGAAGGAACTGGGAGAAAATGGAACTACCTGTATATAAATTAGGTGAGCAGACAGTGATACGGGTAGTTGTAAGAAGCAAATATATACAGTCGATTTAACAGTGTTTACTTCTCTGGTTTGTTTAATAGTGTCAAAATGAAAGATCTATTGAGGATTCACTATACATTGCATTGATTGAACCTTGGAGAGTTTTACGGAAAGAGGGGCAGCCCTTGGCTATGATTGCCAGTCTCTCTTGCCCTTTCCTTTGAAAAGCCTGCTCCTTTTTGGGGGGGCCCAGTTTGCTTCCCGACCATCTGAACTCAGCTGGGGTCCTCTAAGTTCTTCCTGGATCTACATAAATCCCTTCTCCAGACCCACGTTCAAAGTGAATGATCGAGGACATCCGTGCTGGAAGAGGGTCAAGACTGACCAGCCAAGGCTAGAACTGTCCCAGAAAAATCAGCCTTGATGCTGGGACTAATCATATCCCAGATTAGAAGGAATACTGACTTCCAACTCTGGGAGACATCGCCCCGGGCCGGATGCGATACTCCATCAGCCATGCTGGCTGGGGCTGCCGGGCAGAGCCGGGTTCACAGTTTTGTACTGGGATGTACGGAGGACAGCTGGGAAGGTGGAAAGGCAGCTTGAGGATTTATAGCAGCTAAAGGGTAAATGCCGTTGTGCAAAAGGTCCCCGTATGAACTTCCTACAGGTGTGGCCGCAGCCAAGTGTCTGTACAGCTGCTGAGAATTTGTTGGTGATGTAAAAATTCCTCTTTGCATCACAAGTGAGTGGAAAGCCAGGGGCTGCATGAGCGGAGAAAGCACAGTCTGGTTTTTCAAGTACTGCAGAGAGTGAGAATACCCAGCTGGGAGCCTGGAGTTGAGGCCCGAGTTACACAGGCTCCCAGAATACAAACCTGGGAAGATCGGGGAGGACAGGGGAAGCTTGTGGCCTTCCGATCCTCCACCAGAATGCCCACCGTAGGTGGCCTTGGCGCCTTCACTCTCCTGCTCAGAGGCCTTCTCCTTCCCGGAGGCCTCCTTCGCCGGGTCCAGGGGAGACACTGCCCGAGCCTTTTTCCCAGCAATCACCAGGTCCAAATCCTCCAGGCTGCGCTTTATGGGACGCGCGGCACCAATGTTCTGAGGGCTCATTTTCCGATGCAGGATAGGGTGGACCATGCCTTCCATCTTTCTGAAATTCTCCAGTCTCACGTGGTGAGGTTTCCCCGATCTTGAAAGTGATTCGGGGTACTTTTTAGGACCCGACATGGTCATGGGTGAGACCCGACAGGCTTTGGGGTGACAGTCTCGGCTCTGGCTGCTGACGACCTGGAACTGGGAGAGGCCTTTGCTCTCTTGGGGCTCTCTGGTGGTGGAGTGGGCCAGGCCCAAGACCTTACTGGTCAGTTTGTGTGGGTTCTTGGGGAGGCTCAGATCTGTGGGCTGATCATCCGTGGAGGCTTCTGCTGCAGCCAGCTTTCTGTCTTGCAGGTGAAGAGATGCCAGATAATTTACATGGAGCTTTTCTTGGTGCTTGTGGGAGGCGAAAGAACTGTTTTCCGACTCCCTGTACATGTCCCTGGATGCGTACTTGGATGACTGTTCATTGTGAAGGTGGTGCTCCGTGTGCCGATAGAGACTGTGGAGATGAGGGGACGAGTAGAAATCCGCCAGGAAGCTGGGCATGTGGGAGTGGGGGAGTGCCCTCTTCTCTAAGAGTTTATCTTTGCCTTCCTGAATTTCTTGCTTCAAGACATAGGAGTCAGCCAGGGAGTTCAGATGATGCTTGGAGAAGCTACAGCGGTGAGCATCCGATCGACTCAGTTTGTCATGCTTGAAAATGTCACTGATGCCCTTCCTCTCCTCTGACGGCTTGGATTTGAAACTCTGGACGTGCTGGATCACCGAGGGCCGGCTGACGGCCATGTGGTCAGCGCTTTGGCCGTGGTGGGCCTGGGACAAACTAGAACACAAGTCATCCCGGGCAATCAGTTTCTTTTTGCTGATCAAAGGGGGTGGGGAGCCGTAAGGGTAGCTGCTAGAGAGGCTGGCCCCACTCACTTGGGACAAAAGCTTTTTCTTGGCCAGTGGGGACATGATGCCTGGGTTGCCCCTGGAATAGAGCAGGGGTGTGTAATTAAGTCCATGGTTTTCATTCATGGGCCCAGTCAGGTCTTTGTCTTTGAACATGTCAAACGACTGGACCACAAGGACCTTTGGCGTCTGCTTTAGCGCAGTGTGGATGTCATCACTGCCCAGCTGGTCGACCTTCACAGTGCAGTTAGCAATGTAATCTGCCATCGCAGGCAGTTTGTCATCCTCCAGCTCATTCTGGTTTGCCAGGGGTGGCTGTGTGGTGGGGAGGCCAGGAAAGGATGCATCTTGGAGGTCATTTGCAGTGCTCTCTGTAAAACAACAGGGTTTGGATTCCTGCTTTGTATCCACGGGGGCACCAGGAGAGGCCAGGGACTGTTTGCCAGCCCCAGAGATGGGAGCTGGGTCCTTTTCCGGAGCCAGGGGCAGGCTGGGGAGCGGAGCTGCAGGCCCCTTCTCACCCAGCTCCTCCACCTCCTTCTCACTGTTGGAACCTTGGTCTGTTTCACTGTCCTTTTCGGGGTCTGCTCTGGATGCCAGGGACTTTGCTGGGAAATCCTGGTACCCGTCTGCTTTTTTCTTCACATCGGCTGCCGCAAGAGGTTCTGTGACACTTTTCTGGTTTAAAGGCTCTTGTTCCTTCTCTGGCTCTGATGCAACCTGATAAAATATTTCAAAAGACAGTCAAAAGAAAACCAAACACTCTGACATGTTTTGCTGGTAATAAAATATTACACACAACATTTTTCTCTGAAAACAGACTTGTCAATCAGCTCATTGAGTTTCTGTGAGGCTTTATTCCCCCCCAATCGGGGTTCTAAACAAAGAAAGCTAAATTACAGAAACATTGGCGGAAATATGCATATATCCCTTATGAGACACCTATCAAAATAGCAAAGTGTTATGTACTGATGATATCCAATCACATTACTCCTTGATTCTAATATATAGTTTAATTCTAAGGTTGTCTTCTTGTCAAATCAGTCAATTATCCAAATGGGTTTTAAATTACATGTTGTGTTTTATGACACTTCTGGCAAAGATTTTCTTAAGCATCTCTCTTTCAAAAATCCAACCAACTCCACGTCAACAACAAATGATACTCCTTGCCTTTCTTTGAGAGAGAAAATTCCATCCTACTGTGTCCAATATCATGCAATGAAGATTAGTGATACTTAAATGTTAATAATTTCCACCCAGTGCCACGGAACATGCAGATAATACTAAAATATTGAAAAAGTATGCAGAAGCAATGGGAGTCTGTCTACATGAGGGACAGAGGATATTCTAAGTCCTCCTAGGTTACAGCAAACTATATTTCTATTAAAGCCAAAAACGAAATTGTCAAAATTCAGACAGTAAGTACCACCAAAAATATAGCTTTTCTATTCATTAAAATAAATTATACTCAATTTGATGAATGCTTTTTATGTGTCCTTATTTGCAGAAGTCATGGGCACAATACGAGCCATTTATTCTATTATGTACCCATGTAAGCTTTGACCTTAAGAGGTCATTTTAACTCTCCACCTGTGCCCCAGCTGACTGACAAGACTTTTCAAAATTGCTGTCATTCTGCCCTGACATGTCTTAGTGGGACAGTCATGAAACAGCTGTATTGAGCTTGTTCCCCATCCCCTGCCCCAGTCTCATCTCTACAACTTTGTTATCTATTGAGAAAAGAAATAACAATCACCTTGGCATCTTTATGTAAGACTGCAATGCTGGTTAAGGATACATAGGAAAAAAATCTCTTAAGGAATCACATCCATTTCACTGCTACAGCTCCCCAAATCCACTTAAAGATATCTCTGCTTTTTAAGGATGTGTCGTACCAAGAGCTTCTGCCTATTCCTCCTCTTTCACTAATCGCTGCCTTTTCCAGTACAAATATCATTACTTGCTCTACATTAATAACCATCATTGGTCTCTTGAGCTTATACAGTGTGTGGAAATATAGAGAAATGAATAAAGCAAGTGAAAAAGCAAATTGCATTTAATTGTTAATTTCTGATGGGGCTATAGTTTGAAGTGGGACTATGGGGACTGCTCAGCCTCCCTGAAATTTCTACAACCGAGGTTTTTAGCTTTGCTGGAGTCTTATGCTTCTGGCTGTGAAACAGGTTTGCAGTGGGGAGGGTCTTTGAAAGCTGAGCTGGAAAAAGGAAAAGGCCACTGTTCTGAGATGGCATCTTGTGATCAGCTTTAGTATGTTAAATGTAAATGAACATCTTCCCGCGGTACTGTTACCTGAAGACAGAAGGGTTTCTCACTCCTACATCCCTTCGGCTTAGTGCCTTTTGTCAAAAACGTTAAAAATTAAATAATGAAAACTATGACAAATCTAAATCCAAACCTCAAACACAGCCAATGAGAAGAAGCATAACTAACCAGTAATCTGGGTCTTTGCTGGAGGGGAAGAGCTATTCTGACCAGGTCGCTCTTGAAGAAGATGGGTGAATACATGCAGGTTAGGTACCCTCACATGACACTCTTCAAAATGTCAGATGCGTAATACTCATTCTCCGAGGGAACAATGGGGGCCTGTAGGACACGGGGAGCCTAGCAGCTGGCGGGGTTCCTCTGGGCTCTGGGGAGCGAGGTTCCATGCTTGGGGGGTGGTCGTCTGCCTAGCTAATGGGCTCAGTTCCCAGACTGAGGATCCTCTGTCAAGTCCCAAACCAACCGTTTTAAACTTTGCCCCCCAAACGGAGCCATGCAAAGGTCAGACGGCGCCGTGGATCTCAGTGTGTCCTCTGGTGCTTTGGCATCATTGTCTATACCGTATCTAACCGAACTAACTCACTGATCCAAAACCCTATCATAAATCACCAGACCAGCGGGATAAAGGAAGAACGGAATGCAAGCCTCCATGTAGAATTTCCCTGCTTTTGGCAATTTAAGCTGCAAACTTGAACGTGTTCACAGTTCCATATCACCTCTGCTTTTCCTCCCTCCTTTTTGAGTTAGTAGAGCCTAAAATAATTATGAAACCTACAAAAACGACATTTTTCCTCTTGGTATCAATATTGTCTTCTTATAGGAAAGCCAGTCGGGTAAGTAGTTAGGAAGATGGTGTGTGTGTGTGTGTGTGTGTGTGTGTGTTGAAACTCAGTGTTTAATTGGGGAGTCTCTTATGTGTTCCTTATAAACCTGATTTTTAGAGGGTGTTTAATATCAGCACCAAAATTCCCTCAGGGCTTGAATCCTAGAACATGCTGTCTCCAAATGTGGCTGCTAACTTTTTTTTTTATGGGCAGCAGGGTTTTTTATTATTCATGTTGAAACAGAGCCCAGATCAGCCTCCCTGACTGGCTGTGCACCGACAGTAAAGGTTTCAACCAGAGAACTGTTGGGGGCTGTGGGAGTTGGGGCTTGTTTTAAAAGGCTCAGAAACTACCTGTTAATATGAGAGATAATGATGGTTTCAGAGGAATCATTTCAAAATTCCCCTATAAATAAGATGTACTTAAGATCTTGCTAACATGGTCTCAACCCACGGCTGGCTGCGGCACAGGGGCCCATTAACAGAAGAAAACACATCTCGGAAGTTTTCAGGAGAGTCCTGCGGAGTCCACCATACAGTGACTCCAATGGCCACCTCAGAAGTCCCACAGACTCCTCAGATAAGCTGGCTTGGAAATGACCAAGTAGCCACATTTTCCAATGGAAACCCTTGGGAGACCTGCAGCTCCAGCTCCTTCTCTCAGAATCAGAGGACTTGGTAATGGTTTTCTGTAGGATATTCTCACCTTTTCAGGTTCTCTTTTTGGACCGCTCCACCCCGCCCAGCCCCATGCACTGCAATTCAGCTCCTGGGCAAAAGGCAAGAGTTTGTAAAAATCAGGGAACTACTGAGGGAACTGTGAGGCCTGGAGCATTTATTTATTTACAGTCCTGGGGACTGAAATTGGACCCTTTGTACTGGGCTACACCTTCAGTCCCCTTTCTTAATTTTTTATTTTGAGACAGGATCTTGCTAAGTCTCTAAACTGTCCAGGCTGGACTCAAATTGTGATCTCCTGCCTCATCCTCCAAGAATGCTGGGATTCCACACATGTGCTACCATGAGTTCTTGATTTCTTATTCTAGCTATGAAGTATGCAGAGGCCCAGCTGCGGATTCAGTTCTAGAAGACCTCAAGGCAGGACAAGTCTCACACAGGTGGCTTCCCTGTGGAGCCCAGCAACTCACCTCGGATGTGTCCTGGGGCTTCGGTGCATTCTCTTTCTCTCTCTTGCTCTTAGGCATTTCATGTTTGATGCGTTTGGTTCCTGATACTTTTGTTTTATTCTCATTCTCCTGTGAACTGTTCTCCTGTTTCCGAGGTTTGATTGGAGGCAAGGGCTTATCTTCCTCTCCCTTAATAAACCTTTCATAAGGTAGGATTAGTCTAAAATGAAAGCAGAAGAGATAACAAATCAGCTGAGCATTCTAGTAGCATCAATGCCGTGGGAGTCTCTTTTCTCTCTCAGTGCTGCCGTGCCCCCACCCATGGAGGACCGGTTTTCAGACTGCCGGGGGATGCACCGGGCCCTGTGGAGACTATGCTCTTTCTTGTACATACAGGTTTATTATAAGCTTCAATTGATAGATTAGGCACAGTGAGAGATTAACAACCATAACTAATAAAAACGTAGAAAAGTTATTAAATTTTGTCATGAAAGTTACGGGAATGTGGTTCCTCTCGAACAAATCACGATGAATACATTTTAGTTTCAGGCTGAGGTCGGCTGTGGGAACCTGGAACCATGGAGGACGTAATCGCCAGGGACACTGATGCATCTAGAAACTTCGTTCACAATTTGGTGAAAATCAGTACTTGGTCACTTCAATGCTTTTCTACAAAACACTTATATCTGGTTTCACTGGTCTGCACGCCAAGGATACCAGTGAAACAAACAAGGTTGAAAACACCATCATTACAGCCCATGGCACTTGGCTACGTTCCAGCAACAGCACAATAGTCAGCTGCCATTCATTTACCGCTCCATCAACTGCTTATTGAACTTCTACCTCGAGCCAAGCAGTGCTCTTGCACTGAGACAGAGCAGAGAACGAAGCATTCAAAGCATCTGACCTCAGGAAGCTTACATTCTACAGGGGCCTAGTACAGAGCCAGGAACATTACACAGGTCATCCCATATCACCTCTGCCACATCCCTATGGAGTATTATTATTATTCGCTTTACAGCCAAACAGACAATAGCGGCCCCAAAAGGTTGAATAACGTGCCTAAAGGTCACACCGTTTGTCAAAGCTGGAATTTGAACCTGGTTGCACCTATGTCCCATTTTTAATTTTTATTCATCTAAACGTGTAGACCCAGCACTTAAGATCAAAGGGTCAAAGGAAGACAAGCTCAGCATGGTTAAAATGGCTGTCTTATCCTGTAGCAAAGATGGGGCAGGTAGTGGCACCCAAGGGGGTCTGTTTTGGGGTACCAAGTAAAATAGGGCTCCACCAAGAAGGCATCAGAGCAGCCACTGAAGCCACAAAAATCAGAGGGCTGAAAAATTCAAGCATTTTAATTATATAACTTTTTAAACAAAGTGCATAAAATTGCTCTAAAAAGAGAAACATCAAACAGCTCTGGTTTTAATCTGTTTTCCCTCTGCGACACAGCTCTTGATCTGAACGGGGAAAAAGAGCTGATGTAATTAAAAGGCATGGATTGCATTACAATCTCAGTTTCAACTACAGTGATTAAAGTTTTTATAATGCATTTGGTATGATTAATGACTCACTGTGGGATTAATACAAGACTCAACCTTAAAAATATGAACTTTAATACGGCAAACATAATTTGTTTTAAGTAAGACAAGTTGACTCAATGAAGAAAATGTACTTGGCTTATAAACAATTATAATCTGTTCAAATATTGGGAATCCTAATTATTTTTTTTTGGGGGGGGTTTCCAGTACCGGGAATCGAAAATTTTTAAACTAAGACATCTAGGCAAAAAGTTCTGTCATGGGGGCTGGGGATTTAGCTCAGCGGCAAAAGCGCCTGCCTGGCAAGCGCAAGGTTGTGAGTTCGGTTCCCGGTACCGGAGAAAAACCAAAAAAAAAAAAAACAAAAACAAAAACAAAAAAAAACCAAAAAGTTCTGTCATTTAGACATTTGTTAGCTATCCTGCAATTGGTTTCTAACTGTATCATTTGGGTCTCAGCTACTTAAACATGCACGACTGTTCAGGTTTGAAAGTAAGGATGTGGGGACATTTGTGATCATAATATTTTATTCTTTAATAACATTCCAAGAAATTGTGGGAAAATCAAATTCCAATTTATAGTACATGAGACACAAAATCCATTGACTGAGCATGCTCAGACAAGGTATGTGCAAGGAGGCGTGAATAATACTTTGGAGCCCTACATCTGGCAGTGGGCCAGCCACGAAGATCAACACAGCCCATGGGGAATAGTTATCTTCAGATCCCATTACAAACTGAGTTCAAACATGTTACAGCTGCTAAAACTGGAAACTGCTTTCTCTATGTAGACTTACTAAAATAATATATGGCTGCCAAATACCTGCTTCCCACTGTAATATTACAGTTAATGTTTATATAATAAAAAGCATAACTAAGCAGAAGAGAGAAAAAAGCAATCTTGTTCATACTTGAATTTATTCTGTCTCATCTGTAAAGTCCCTGACATCCCCCTACTCCCAGCTCCTTTTATCTGAGTAATTCTGCAGGGATTTTATCCTTTTCGGTATCGACAGGTTAGGGATTTTTGTCCAGGAGCAAAATGCATTGAATATTTTAAACTGGAAAAATATTTTAAATTGATTTTAATGAAAACATATTTTAGTGCTGGGACAGATAGGTTTGTTTTACGTCTGTTTTGTTGCCATGGGAACCTAAAGAGCTTGGGAGCCTGGGTACTCCAATGGTTACCATTTGTTGGTGACACCCTTCCTCCAGTTCCATTCTTTCATTAAGACAGTGACACCATGACAGACCTTCTATCCTGAGAAGGACAGCAGCACCTTTGAGTGTAGGGAGCCTGCAGAGGGGGGAGGGACATAAGCGGAAGAAGAGAACTGGTGGGAAAGACACTCAGTGGGGCTCAGAGGTCCCCTCACCCTGGATCCTGATAACCTTGGGCAGATGTCACTCTGTAGATGGAGCTAAGCGACCTTCTTTCCCTTTTACAATTTTGCAAGTTCATGAGGCAGGGTAACATTTTCATTTCGGTTCTTTTTCTTCCCTCCCTTTTTCTTTCATTTAGTTTTTCTCCCCTTCACTCAACTCAGCAGCTGGCAGACTGACAAGAGCAAAAAATACATTTCACTTTGCTGGTCAAAGGCCTAAAGCCAGAAGCAGGAAATCTGGAATTAAATGTTTCTTGTATCTGGAAAGAGGCATGACTAAGGTAAAACTGAATCCAAACAAACTCTGCTTGTTCGAGGTTTCCAGAAGCTCTGTGTGTGTATGTCTGTGTGCATGTGTGTGTGCATGTGTGTGTGTGTGTAAAGGTCAACTGAATTTTTTTTTCCCCTTCTAAATCATCGAAAGATAATTATAGTGGCTCAGGGAAAAATGGCTCCGAAAATAAAACAAGAAAGGCAGCAGTTAAAAGGAAACAAGTAGAAATATGACCAGCCAAGCTCTGAAGAACAGGGCATGGTCTCAAACGGCACACAAACAATCGCTGCTTCATAGAGTGGTTTCCGTTTGGTGCAATTTTCACTGAATGTTTTTTCAGTTATCCTGTCATGGTACAACACAATTACCCACAGGATATGATCTTATCATTTGATTATTAGATGTTTTTTACAGTACAAGAGGACGCAAGCTATTATAGAATTTTGAACATTTAAACATTCAACATACATGTGGTAACATTAAAAAGAGGTTAGCTAATAGGTCAGCCTTGCCCCATGCAGGAAACTGTAGGTTTGTATTATATAAAGAATTCAGTAAATGCGCTTTGCAGATGATTATTCCTCAAATATTTGTAGTATAACAAAGATTTAATCAGTTTCTAAACTGTACAGATGAAAGCAGAAATGCACCCAGCCCCCAGGAACTCATTCCACAGGAGAAATATTTTCAATGGGCTGCAGTTCTGAGAATGCAGGGTTGTAGGTGGGTGGAAGTCATGGGGAAGAGAAGCAACAGAATCATTAGTGAATCCAGAGACATTTTCCCCTCCTGATCTACATCTCGTCTGGGGATTGAAAGCTGGGTAGATAAATAGGTCTTTATCATTATCCAGATTTCACATTTCAGATTAGCAAAATGCTTATTTACGATGCCATTAATGGATCTGAAACAGGTAAGCCGTCATGTATTAAAAAATAACATCTTTTCATAGGCATAAGATTTGTAGCAGCATGAGACTTTATTTTTCCCTAGGAATAACGCAAGAATAACATTTTCCACCCCAAAGCAGAAGCAGTAGGGGAGCCTTTTGCTATCACGGAGATTCTTATTAAATTCAGTCACTGTGAAAAGCAAGTTTTTTTTTTCTCCTCGTTCCTTTTTTTTAAGTAAAGAAGATTTAAAATCAACCCAAGTTAAAATTAACAAATCAATGGCATTATAACCTTGATTTATTAGTGTCTGAGCCAGTAAATTATCATCATATAAAAAATTGCTGGTTTGAAAAGATTTCAGCTTTGCTAAATCTCAAGTTAAATAATGGTGCTCGGTATACCAGGTTTTTAGATCTGCCTCATCTGATATTATAAAAAATTCAATACATTTCTCCACAGCAGAAGTCAGGGGTCAGCAAATCTATTACTGTAATGTAAGTAATCTGGCAACCTGCCAACTCCTTCTCCCTTTTATTATTTTTTTAAACACTAAGGCAGATAATTTTATATTTACAGAGTCTAAAATCCTCCAGGGTCTTGCTTCTCTTTCTCAACAAAAAAGCAGCAGCCTGACAGTAGAGAAACGTATATCACACATGTCCTCGTCACTTGCGTTTCATACAAGAAAAGAACTTTCATCTTTATTAGGCAACATGCCCCCTCCCCATAAGCAGAGAAAAAATAATGTCAAATTTCATCTGAACGAGTAACCAGTAATGTCTGCTATATTGATTAATGCTTCCATGTAATGGCTGAACTTTTGGGCCAAAACATTTAGCAAACAGTGCTTAAGAGGAGTAATGAGAATCCATCTATTTATAGAACTCTGAAAAATGGTATTATAATAATGTCTGGAACTGATTCAATTCAGAGAGTTAGGGAAAGAAATAGGAAATTTTTAAGGTTGTATTTGAATCTCAAACTCAACCCACTTATTTTATAGACGCTTTCATGGTATTAAACCAGTGAAAAATTCTAGGCCCAAATATTTGCTGGTATCCTTGCAGCGGAATATTTTAGGGGCAGAGGGAAATGCAGTTGGTGTGCATGTCAGGTTGAAAATGT